CTGGAGGAAAGAAGAACCATTCTGGGAAAGAGTGGTGCCCTTCTCATCTTTAAATACATGTGAGTCTTCTTCCAGAAGCTTCCATTGAGGAAGGGGCGGCAAGGTTCTCATAACCTTCCACGATATTCTGTAACCTTCCAAAGTATTCCATAGCTGAGGGTCTAGCCGAAGCTTCATATCGGTCCATAGACCGTGACAATGAGAACCTTGTCGGCCCTTACTCAATGGAAGCTTCTGGAAGAAGACTCACATGTATTTAAAGATGAGAAGGGCACCACTCTTTCCCAGGATGGTTCTTCTTTCCTCTAGCTTGGAATGCTCGTAGTAGTAGGCTAGACCAATGGCATCGACCTTGTCCTAGACCCTTACATTACAATAAATCTTCTTGAAGAACAGGAAACAGAACCATATCCTCCCTATTTCCTGGGCATTCTTATAACCTTGCCATTGACCTTGTCGATATTCCTGGAACCTTCTAGCAAATACGCCATTGGATTTGGTGGGTCCAATGAGTTGTGACTGAGGGTCTTGCCGAAGGCCGAACACCGGTTCATAGACCGTGACAAATAGTGCGTGCTAAGAAAAATATAAAGGAGGAGAAGTTGCTAAAGACGACCTAGAAGACTTCATTAGCTTAACGGCCTGATGAGACCCTCTAAGTAGGCCTTGAAGAGAGACCCTGATTTAAATATGCATTGCAAAGGCACGCTTGAGCAGTATTTCGATGCGTCTAATGCTTGAGCAGTATTTTGATGAGTCTAATGCTCTAGCAATGTGTGGATCAGGAGGTGCTCATTTCATGCTTTAAAGAAATAGCCTGCCGCCTGCGGCCAGACGCTGATTTCCTTGCCGACTTAAAACCCAGTAAGAAGAGTCTGTGACGTCTGGAGTCAAGAAGAAACATCAAAACGCCCAGGGATTGGACTAGGCAAGGTATCAGTAATGTCAGATTTCCTTGTCTGCGGTGATAGGTAATAGCCTGAGGATCAGGCAATGTCGCAATAATTCTGTTATCATCTTGACTTTTCGCTGGAGAACGATGCGACAGGAGCGTGTGGCAAGTGGAGGCTAATTACCTGTGACCGGGGTAATGAAACTCTGAGATTCGGTGAACGTACACGTGCGTCTGGGGGTATTTGCTGAAGATGCCCGAGAGGTCCCGAGCATTGAAAAGATCGCCTCGAACTCGTTTCCTATGAGAGCAACCGGGTACTCTTTGGACAGTCCTTCAAAATCTCCTACTTTCTCTGGGTTTAGGCACCGCACGAAAGAGCCCAATTATACGCAATGATGGGGGCTCAAAGCATCGTGATCTTGATGGACCTGGTGATACACGCAGCAGGTCGGTTGCGAGGGAAGATTATCCAGAAGTCAAGAGGATGAAGAGGCATTGCAATCACGTTCGGGACACATATTTGTGATATGGCGAAGCAAGTTACGATACTCCTGGTATTAGGCAAAAGAACAGAAATATGCCAAGAGCGACTTGGAAGCCCAACGCCACAACAAATTTGTGGCAAATTCCATACAAGGACTCCTCAAACCTTCGTTGAAGACGGAAAGCCAAGGTAGAAGCAGTGTAGACGATCAAAGTCTGCTGTTGTGCCCAAGATATCAGAAGCTCGCATCTGTCTCATGAGTCATGGACCACCTTGTTGCAAACCGCCAAGTAGGAGGCGTTCGCCTTCAACAATGTTTGTTGCGCATTCTCCGAGTCGTAGGTGTCCCACGCTTCGTTTTGAATCCTGCGGACTTCTGCGAAGGAGACTTTTTGCCCCGTGGCCACACGCAGATCGAGGGCTTCCAAGACGCACTGCTTGACATAGGCGAGGGTGTCTCGATAGTTGTCCTGGAAGACCACGCTCACGGCACTGGTGACATCCTGGACAAACTCTCCATCCCGGAAGTCTATAGACCCGTGGTAGGCTGTATGAACATTGTCCATGGCAACTTTGAATACCTTGGCTGCCTTGATCCAAATCGAGTCGACCTCGTCCTCTGGGCTTGGGTCAACGTAGAACGATAAGCCTTCTGATGTGACCCGCTGGGCTTGCCATGCAGGTCTTTGGATCGGCATCGAGACTCAGAAGACCGTACTCCAGGCTAAGACGTATTTCGAGCTTGATCTTGAGCCACAACGTAATGCGTTCGCTGTCATTCAACATGGTAACGAAATTCTTTGCGGCGTCCCCCTCTGACATCTCTTGGTTCTCTTCGACCATCTCAGCACAGAAATCGGAGATCTCGGAGTCCAGAAGCTCGTAGGAAAACCAAACAGACTTAGCTTGTGACTGACCAATTGCTTGGTCTAGATGGGCGGCAGCCTTCTCCGGGTTCGATCCTAGAAAGGTGTGCGGCATGTTGAGGAGGAGGCGAGACCTAGCAAGAGCAACATCGTTCCTTGCGGCGAGAAAAGCCGTCTTTCTCGCGGTAGACCACTTCTCCTTCAGAAACCCGTAAATCTTGTCCGGAGATTGCAAGATGGTATTAGCGTGCTTTGGATCAAGGCTGATGCCGGCGAAGGGCGACGCAACAGGGCCGGAGTTCATCTTGAAAGGTCTGGGAAAACGGGCAGCGGGTCGTGGTATGGGGCGTTTCGTGCTTTGTGTGTTCTTGTCCATGATTAGCAGAGATTTCAACCCGAAGGAGACCCAATGTATCTCAGGCACCGAGACGTACGGTTGCAGCTGCATCTGGGTAGGTCAACAGATGAAGTGCGCGGCAGATGGTCGAAAAAAGACCTCTTACGTGGACGGGTGAGATTTGGGATTGAGTGAATATCGTTGGTATCTGGTGGTCGGATTTGCGCACCAAGACTGGAGGCAAAAGTCTGAAGCTTTGGCGAAGATTGCGGGGTTTGGCGATGCTTGCGGGAGACGCTCCGTGGCGGTCGAGAAAGGCGGCGATGATCTGGGGCCCAGGAGATCAGGAAACGCGAGACATAGCTTCCTTTCTGTCGGGTTGCTCTGCCGATTGCAGGATCTCTTCGTGCCGAAATAGCTGGGATGTGTTCATTCGCAGCGTAAATTGGGTCTCGAGTCGACAAAATGGGCGTTCCCCAAAAGGAAGTTTGGCGAAGTACGGAGCGCCTTCCGGGGTGCAATGGATTGGGTTGTGCCACTTCTGCAACAAGCGCCATGTGAATCCACCAGGCGGGGTCGGTGGAGAGTGGCTCAACCCACCGGCGCCGTGGCAGGAGTGCCTTGGAAACCTTAAGGCAACGTCAGTAGATAAGAAAAGGACTGCGAGGCGACGATAAGGTCTTTGTCGGGCGCGCTGGAGGATGCAGCGCAGTGGTGCAGCCTGATTACGTAAGTGGACGGTGCATAATTCCGAGAATCGGTACCTATCCAATCTGTTTGGTCTCCTTTAGCAAGGCAGGAGTCAAGAATACCCAGGCCTTTGTTTGCTGAGTGCAACTTCTCTACTGTCTTAGTTGGACCTTCCTTCTGTCTCTCAGGGCCTCTTCCCCCAGCCCCACCTTCTGACGTCACATCCAGTCACAGCGACCGCCGCGAATCAGGGCGACCACGTACTCAAACGGGCATTCAGTTGAGGAAGGCGCCAACTTCACCCCTGTGTAGCAATGGCAGAGAGCAGCATCGGCCGGACACCATCACATCGCGAGTCAACCTCCACCACATCGCAACAACTTCCATCAACCGCCGCAGGCCTCACACGACCAAGACACTCATCTGCCATCGTCAAATCCACTGCTCAACACTCCAATGGTACGAACCCGCTCTGGGAAGGAGTCCCACCCCGATGACTCCCAAATCCCTCCCATACCACCCGATGAAAACCACCCTTCGAACGAGATCCTCAACCCGCAGCCGCGCCTCGCGATGAAGAAGCAACGGTCCGAGAAAGCCAAGGCCCGGTTCATCGTCGACAATGACGACTTTACCGGTGCAGTTCAACGAATGCATCTGGACAGCACCAAGCCATCGTTGTCCAAAACATTTTCTCCTGAAGAGGTAGCCTCCAGTTCCAAGCCTTCAGAAAAGACACTTCAAGAAGGCCCGGCGGAATCGAAAGGCGATGGTACTGCAGCGACTCCATTGGAAAATATCCCTTCTATGTGGGACGACGTCGGCTACCTTGACCCCGACTTCAAGCCCTCGGCCATGAAGGTCGCCACCCTCCGGAATGTCCTCTGTCGTCACAACATCCACTACAGTTCTGCGGATACCAAAAAGACCTTGGTAGACATCTTTGACAAGGAGATAACGCCCCGGGCAGCTGCCACATTGACGGCCATGGGCAAGATAGCCCCTAGCAGCGATGGAATCGTGGATGTTCATCAGGGTAACTAAGCAAGCACTATTAGTTGGCAGCATCAACGGGTATTGGGTTGAATTACTGTCATGTGTCTGGTTCCCCTTCGTCCATAGGCCTTGTCGTAAAACAGAATCATTTTCGTACCATTCATGCTATCAAAGCGTTTGCTTTTGCTTGTGTCCGATTATGAGGTGTCATCATTCCATTAATCCACAGATTCTTTTCCCAAGTTCCCAGTCAAGCTCCTCATCTTGTCCAGGTCATGCGTGTGACACTTGCCCTACGAGCCGTGTGTGCGGCAATACGGTCGCGGCATTCGACCTTGCCTACGATCTTTGTGATAGGTCCCACACAAAACAGTATTTGCTAACGTCTGCTATTGATTTCAACGGTTGGAATCCCTCATTGTTCCCTCTGGCGTCAGACAACTAGTATGAACATGCCCGCGGAAAGAAGGAAGCCACTTGGATCCCGTGGTCTGCCCAGTTAAAGCGAAGTCCATGACAGCCGCCGCCCCTGCATGCACAACCACGTTTGGTGTTCCTTGAGCCAGCGTCGTCTTTTATCCGACTACCGAGTCTGACGAGGGTGAAAGCTTTCTCGGCCATGTGCTGCTGGGCTGATGGATGAACACATTTGTGGTTACTGCAATAGAGTTTGACAGTCATACCATTCTACAACGATCGTCTTGACGGGGCTCGCCAGGAGTTGAATGCAAGTCAGTATCCTACCGAACGGTGAAAGTCTCAATTTAATCGCGAAAATGCTGAACATGTGTCGTATGATGTTTTTCGGTGACTGCATATGATTTGACTCAGGCAGAGTCAGCGTGGGTTCCCATAACCAACGCAGACTTTGGGAAAGGCTTGCACCCACTGAACTGTCAGACACACCATCTCATCTTGTCGGAGCTGAGATTGTTTAGATGCAGCATATTAGGTCGAGAGGTGTCGCGAAGAAGGGCTTTGTGTAGTCATTGCTGAAACGAGGCCTGTGCACGATATATGTCCTCCCGGCGTTGATGAGGTATGAAGTCTTCATGGCCATGACGGGCAGCGGCCGTTACTTCGAAGCAAAAGGGACAGTGGCAATCTGCGGCAGTGGTAGTCTTGCGCCGGTCGAGACGCAGAAGAACAAGAACGGTTCGGGCTCCGGTCTGATACAGTTGCAGTCCGTTGGACTTGCGGTAACTGTGACAGCATGCTTGCGCGGCAGGTATTGATGTTTGTGATCGGGGTGCTCTGAAGAACCTAGAAGACTTATCCGAATGGAATGAATCAGACATATGGGTCGTGTGCATCTGCGAACGTCGCAAAGATTGACTTGGAAGTGGTAGTACTCTGAGCTCTGGTAAGAAGCCATAAATAGGGACCATGATGGGAACCATGAGGAGAAGCTGAAGGGCTGAAGGAGATGCAAACTGCTTTCCAAGAGATGTACATAGGTGCATAACCAAACGTGGAATTAGCCACTAGGGATTTAACAGACCACACGTGCAGCTCCGAGAGGGCTCAAGTTCAGGTTGAAATCCCTGGCCAATCACCTTTTGCAGGTGTGCCTAAATTAGAACGCATGAATAGCGCAATGAGTCTGGCGTTCGACGACTTCGGTCTCGACATTCCATGTTCTCAAGGAGCATGGGAGTAGACATTTCCACCCCTTGGTACGAGTACAGTATGCCGAGACGAATACCTATATGGCCGAGCCTCTCACAGCCTTTGAACCGAAACAAAAATGAAAGGCGGGCATCATGTCGCACACATTGGATGTTTATCACTCTTCTCCGTCAGAAGCCACACCAAACCTCTGCATCAGAGGGACAAAGGATGTTCCCACGCCTTAGCGGTATCAGTAATAACGTCCTGAAAATATCAATGTTAGACAGCTGTGTCCGTAGACTGAAGTCTTTGTTGCGGTCGCCGTGAGACGTTGTCCCCCCTTTTCAGAGACCATGCGTATTGCTTTGACCAGTGCAAGTCCGGATAAAATTTGCTATGTCGCTCACAAGAAACCAGGCGCAGATCACGCTGGTTTCCGCCGTTCGGCTATGCTGAAATGGCGAGGCGGTCTGTTAGGTGCCCAAGTATCTAGCCGCGACATGTTTAATTTTGGAGCAAACTGTGCCGACTTCAGCCTTTTCAAAGTCAGCATGCTCCCAAAGCTATTCGCAGGCCAGCTTTTCTACTACCGCCATCTCTCTACTGCATGTACACTTGACAGAGTCCAGGCGGGAGGAAATCCGCTGTGACCGGAGAACAGTATGGGAACACGCGCACCACGAGAGACGATGACTTTGAATCCACAAAACAATTGATGAATCCACAAAACAATTGATCAAAAGCCCACCATCTTCTTCCGTTATACTGAATCAGGTCATGTGGACTCCGCCTGCCACTCCTCCGGCGCCCTTCAAGACCGTTTGCAATGCACCAACTCCCCAATAGCGTGCGAAGGGCGTCTACAACTGCAAGCCCGAGATTTCTCACACATTTCTCAAGTTGAATGCTTTCAGCGCTCGGCACCATCTATAGCTGCAGTTGGGATTTGCTGATGCAGTTGGCCATTTAACTTACATGCAGGATCCCATGTCGTCGTCGGAGATGGCGATATCATCGAACCGGGCTACCGAAAAGCCGACAACGCTAGAAGGCAATTAGAACAGCCAACGCCTCTGGACAGAATCTGAATATCACAGAAATCAAATGCCGTCAGCGAAAATCGGCAAGTCAAGGCACTAGCGGTCAGGCTCTACCTATTTGTCGGCCTCGAGATGCTGCACTCGAGGAAGAGACCTGCGGACGTGGGGGACGAACCGCGATCCAAGTTGCGAAGAATCTGCCGATGCTCAAAGCTCAAGAAACATCCGAGATATCTTGAAGGGACATCTACTGCCGCTGATACTCGCCCGTACAGCCTGATATCTTCGGCATCCGCTCACCGATATCATGACGCAGCGCCTGCGGAATGCATACCACCAGCCCCAAGGATGTCTTGGCTCCGGCACATCTCCTTCTAAGGTACTATAGCTGTCCTTTGTCCAACTTTCTCTGTGCTCAGATATCTAATTCGGCTTTCTTCGCAAGGCCGAACGGAAGCGCGACCACGTCTAAGCTTGCTCACACACACGTTCCGACTGCGGCCACGGCCATACCATCGCGAAGCCGGCCGCACAATAATCCCCTCTTTCTCCGTCTTGCATCGAGTCAGATCTGGAATGGCTGCACTCTCGCTCGGTAATTTAAAACCGCTGCTATTTCCGCACCTGTAACGCCAACGCGTGCTATAACAGCATGTTCTGGCTTTGAAGAGGAGCGAGATCCAGCTGCCGTGGACTTTTCGCCGTCATCTTTGAAACCGAGTTCCAAACTTCACTACAAAGACTGCCAAGGTGTGGCGAGACATAATCTCTTGAGATTCTTATCTCTGTTACTTAGGGTTACTTAGGGTTAGGGTTATTGGAACATCTCTCCCTTTGTTTTGGTGATTGGCAGTTTGCCGGGCGGGAAGGAAAATCATTTGAGATGACCAAGATGTCTTTGCCAGAAAAGAAGAGCCAGCAGAAAAACACATCTGCTTTGGCCGATCACTGGGATCAGTCCTTACCACCCAGCGGCGGTTGTGGTTTCGTCAATTCATTTGCGCCTTGAGTGTTTGGTGAGCAGGTTGATTCGGGAGAAGCCTTCTTCCCTTCTAACTTTTCTTCAGGGCTTTTAACGGCCAAATTCGTGGCTGTGACTTGAATAATTAACTCATCCAACTCTGAAACGTCTCGGAAGCCTGAATTCTTGGCGCCGCCCGCAACAATTGCTAGACACTATTATCATAACAGCTCACCTGCTGACACGCTACCAGAACCGTTCTGACTTCGAACGAAATCCCGATGCCCCTGCAGACGCTTGGAGAAAGTGGCCTCTGGTGATGAGTTGGAAATTCCTCCCTAGTGCTCTGATTGACATCAAGCGAGCTCTCTGCCAAGAGCATTTCCAGCATGCGACCACTAGGGCTTTTGCCATGGCATAGCTGACATACTGTGCCTCTTTGCGGCTCCTCGATAGACGGTTATGCTCCTGATCACGCAGCATTCGTTTCCTCCTCAACTCGTCATAGCTCGTCGTCACAGGTGTACTCGTTTATTGGAGAAGAGATAGGTAATACCAGGGGGATAGAAATGAGGGTATTGGTGTTTCTCATGCCATCCACATGTACCTCTACCGCTGTCTTCCACTGGTCGCCGTCGCTCTAAATCTCACATGTTCTTGCATAATTCGCTGCTGATTCCTGTCATCAAACTGACGCAACTAGCGGCTCAGAAACCGATGTAATTATCACCTATGCTGCGTAGCTACCTCAGACAATGTCGAGTTCACAGCTTGGGCTTGCTCCAGCGCAAGTCAATCTGTCAATGAAATCTTCCAAACAGTGCCATTCTCGACCGCGTTCCCACGGTGCCATACGATTTCAGTCCCCGGGACGGCCCATCTGAACAACCCTCAAGGCTTTGCTGACGCAATCGTGCCTATGTTATGGCCCATTTGCCCTCCATATAGACCCATTTCATCTCTTTCTGCAAATCTTGGAACCAGGGCAATCCGGTGGAATATAAAAGTTGCTATTGTAGTGAAGCCCCTGGAGGTTCCACGTCTTGTTATAACAGAAGCATGATATTTAGGTTATTTCCTGTCGACGTAATGGTTATAGAGCAAGGTGCTCAGGCTGACGTCCGGATCATCAAGGCCCAATAGAAAGTTGTGCTGGCGGTCAAGACTGTTAGGTAGCGAGATAGCCTGCGAGTCCACATTGTCAGCGAAGAACCAAATTCAACGAGCGAATTATATCATCACACGGACCTTTGGAAGTTCAAATCAGTCTGAGTAGCTGGATGGAAAAAGAAAATGCGCTCTGCAAGACACCACTTCTAGACCCGACATCAATGCTTCTGTTCGGGTTGCCCGTCAACGGACCTTCCATTCACCTCCCGATCTGGCTTAGCGATGGGCATAGAAACTCCAACTTCATCGAGCTCTCTCGACTCAAATGGGGCTGTAAGATCTGAGATAGAGGAGTTGACGACTGATGGAAGATATGGGGCAAGTCTTTGGACAGGGCTTTGGGACAGAGCAGCCAGCTCAAGACGCCTCTCAATCAGAGCGGGCAACCTTTCTCGAAGAAAGCGCTCCTTGGTCATGTTTGTGTGGGCCTTCACAATCGACCAGTACTTCTTCACAACGCAGACTGGAAGTGCAGACTCCTTGCAGACGACGGCTTGCTGTTGACCGAGCAGCTGAACATTGTATGAGATTGGTAAGCCAGCGGTGAGATGCAGATCAATTCTGAGAGACAGAATATTGCAAGGTGGAGGGTTGTCGGTCGAAATGGCCTATCGCTCTCTAGAGCTGACGTTCTCCGAAAACGTGAAGACGGCTTCCGCGTCAATGATCTGCGCTTCGCGCTCGTGAAGCCAGGCAATTTTGCCGTTAGGGCGAGAAACTCGAAACTTGAAAAATCGACTTCGGGGGCCCAAAGCTTCGTGTCGGATGATCGTCCCAAGAGTTGCGCCTCCGTCGGGCTGCACTGGAAAGTGGCAGTCGCGGTTAGCCCTTGTCAGAAAGTCTCATATCGTTTGCGTGAGACTGAGAACTCACATTGGCGTCTTGGAACTTCTGCTTTGGTCATGGTGTCGGAGTTGTCCGGGGCAAGTGAAAAACTGTATCGCGATGGTCGGGCGGAAGCAGGCAACTTCCGAACAATAGGTTTGGGGTACCCAGATTTTGCCGCGGTCGAGTTACGGGTCGCAATGTGAGTGTGGCTCAAATTCGTTGCCTGTGAGAATTCGCAAGTCGTTTAGTCTCTGACGAGTTGAACTTGAAAGACAAAGACAGAAAAGGAATTTTGCCGCAAGCGAGTGGTACTGTCGTTGGCAATGAAAGGACAGATGGGAGCTCGTAACGTCTCGGAGTCTGTGCAGACAGTAGTCGAGATGTGGATAAGGCGTGAGGTAAGTCTCAGCTCTCAAAGGCGAGAAGGAATTCGACCGGCAAGTGTGCGCGAGTTCAGCTTCAGGAAGTCCGGAATTTGAGAGCCGGACTCCAATGGTTACGCTGGGCTAAATGCGAAAGCGCTATTCTCGGACCGTCCATAATACTCTCCCATCGGCTGCTACGAAAGTTGCCGAGGTCAGCCACGTGGAATGGGCTTCATTGTATTTCCTGGAAGATGACGACGTCCGACATCTTTCTCAGGTCGACCACCAAAAACCTGGCTTAATCATATTTTCAGCTTGCGGAACGTACGCGCGATCCTGATTTTGGCGAGTAAGTCGCCAGTGAATTCGGTGAATAAGCCGATTGTGTGAAGAGATGATGGGGTGAGTGCTATGCATGCAGTACATGACTCTGAAGCCGCCTCGTAGCTGTTCAGTTTCAGGCTATAAGTCTCGAGGCCTCAAATGCGCAGCAACAGCCTTGTATAATGAGACTCGCATACAATGACTCCGTCTGACTTGCGCAACCTTGACGGCTGAGGTGGCCTGTGACATGATGAGCTCCAGCTCCTGTCGATGTGTCCAAGGCCACGCCCTTCCGCATGAGCCCAATCTGTTCGCGAGTGGAGGCTCGCGGAATAGTTAGTTCCACCGGCTTGGTGCTTGCTCATTGCTGAAAAAGCTTTGGCAGACTTGGGAGACACGGCATATTGGATTCATCGCTGGGGATTGGAGTCACATGATACCTACTCAGCTGCGGAAACAGAGACCCACATGACGCTGAAAGGGATTGCGTCTGTAAAAGGAATAAGAACATTTGAAGCTTTATGGAGAGATGTCATATGGGCTATGAGACGCTTTGGTAGTTCTGGCAGTCGCTTAGAATATGATAGAAAGTAGGACTTGATGCTTTCGTCCCTTGCGAGGTGATGGGGTTGAAGAATAGTTCAAAGGAAAAGCTTCATATTTCAGGAAAAACACATTCTTGAGAAAGATTATGAGAAAGACAAAGAAATCCGCTTTGCGATTCATGCTGTTCAAGTCCCGTCCGAAGCAAAGAGCTTTGGTGGCCGTGAGCTCAGCGCGAAGGTATTCGCGTACAATGTCAAGTAGACCGTCACCATTAAGCAAAATAGGACCAAGAAACATCGCTGAGAACAAACAAGCGTGTGCCGATTGAACGATGTCAAGCAGGTGTCTTTCTCACTGAATGCTATAAGCTGTTTGGAAATCAGCGTCTGACGAACTAGACAGCACGAACAAGAGGTTGATGCTACGTATCTATGCTCTGGGTGCTCGTTGGTGCCAAGGGCCTGGAGAATGAGCAGCGCAGGAGCCAACCTGTCTTCCCCTATAGGCTGCCAACCCTCAGGCCTCCATTACCGTCGAATTTGGGCTTCGAGTAGCGCTGTAGTCTGGTTGCTAACCAGAGCCGTGACCTGCCAAATAGCCCGCCGGATGGTTCGTGCTGGCGCGAAAGGGTCCTTTGAAGAGATGAGGGCCCTCACCATTCTTTGGCCCACCAAGAGTACCACCAGAATGCCGGAGAAGACTCCTCCAAACCAATCCTCATGTTCCCTTGGGATTTGGTCCTTTCTGAAGATATCCAAGAATAGGGTCTGTGAGTGAAGAAGGCTCTTGTTAGCAGGCTCTGTTGGCACGCGCAAGGTCGAAAGGCCGGAGCCAAACGCAAACCGTGTGAGCAGCAAAGTCTTGCCGACATTCGATCTGCATCAAAGTGTGTACTCTATGCCATGAGATTGCCATCCCATGGCAAGCGTCAGGCAGCAGCTCGCACTGACGGAGGACGTCCATTGGAGAACGCAGATGAGGAGATGAAGACATGTGAAACCACAAGAACTTGCAGCAGGCTCATATTCGGAAGCGCATCGGCTAAGATGGTCGTAAACAGGGAAACAGAGAATGGAAATCACGAGTACGTCTCTGTTGGAGCGTGTCGTCGGCCGTTGGGGTGCATGTTGACTTCGAAATGCACCGGAGAAAAGACACAGGGCGTGGCGGCGGCAACGCGTCGCGTGAAGGCAAGCTAGAAGCGCATTTCCGTAGACGAGGAACCAAAGACGCTGTTTGCATTTGCACTTGGGAGCATGGTATCAGCGACAAACTTCGGGGAGCAGGCGTGGTCGCTTTTGCATGGACTGGTGACACGATGAAGGACCCAAGTACGGCAGAGGAAAAGAGAAGTTGAGGGGGACGAATGATGGGAAGAGAAGATGGGAAGAGAAAATGGGGAAAAGAACACGGTTTGCCATCGATGGTCTGAGTATAGCTCGCCGAGTTCCAAAAGGCAGGGTGTGTTGTGCACACAACACTGCCCAAAGGCCGGGAATGTTGACAATTTGACAACCGTCCGGACCTGCACTCCACTCTTGCACATAGATCGTCGTAGTCGGTCTCGACCTGGTCAAAATCGGAATCACCGTCCTCCTCCTCATCGGCTGGGTTGCAAGCCTGCGGACACATTGAATTCCGTCGTTCATGCTGCCGACTTGCTGGCATTGAACCTAGGTAGCAATGATGTATTTTTGTCTGCCATTGACAAGGACGACGCGTTGACCTCACCATCCATGGGCAGGCGCCTCCTCGAGCGGAACAAACGCAGAGCTTTTCTTGTTGAAGTCCAAACTCGAGTCCCTGTATTCTTGGAAATTCCCTCCATCTTGCTCTGCCTCCTGTCCATGCTCGTGGTATCCATCCTCCTCCTCGGCGTCAAGAGCATCATTGAATTGGTCTTGCGTGAGCTTTCTGAGGTCCAAAATCCTAGCTTTGACCTTCTCCGAGCCGTTGTACCAACCGCGGATTGTATGGTCTTCGGGATCGTCGCATACGGTCTTCATCTCCGCGTAACTGTCGCCGTTCGCGTTATCAATGTCTCGGTGAAAATCGAGTAAGCCAGGACGGACCGCTTTCGAGATGAGACCACGCACGGTTGGAGTGTTGATGTCGAGAACTACCTGGAGGTCGGGCAAACCATGCGAGGTACCCCGAATCCACACAAAGTCGGGAACTAAAGGGGTCAGCAATAGCCAGCCAAGTTGCAGAACATGTAGCAGACGTCTTGTGTTTGGATAGTACACACCAGTAGCAATTTTGGGAATTCGCTTCGACGACAGGCAGTGGACGCGCAAAGTTACAGATGGATCGAGCCGAGGGATAAATCATGCGTTGGCGATGTGTCCGGGAGAGAACCTGCGGCTGCCAGCGCAACAGGTTCTGTCCTTTGCTGGCGAACCGGATTGGTCTCAAGAAGGGGCGGAGGAACAGTGTTGTGAAACGGGAGGGATGCACCCCAAAGTCGCCAGACTCGTAGGTAGTGTGTCGTTGGGTTGGTGGGGACGTGGAGGGCACCGTGGCGTGGGGTGATGGTGGGGTTTGTCGCCGTGGCTTGCTCCCGGGGTAGTGGTAACTTTGAGCAAAGCTCCCATGCAAGTACACCTGCACTTTTAAATCGCTCCCGCAGTCGGGAACACGTCTACCTTGCAAAAAGCAAATTAAGTCTTGTCATTGATGATCAAGTAGAGGGGCCTGGATTTAGGGGTGGACTTGGAGCGCAGCACGGACAGGCAACCTTTATGACCTGCCTCAGGTACGTGCCCACTAAATTCGATCGGTACCTACCGATTTCTCGGTGTGAGATCGGTAGGTACCAAATGTTTCAGTGGGTGATCCCCTGTAGGGTACGTACTGCGATAGGTCCTTCGAATGGATTAGAGGAGCCGCCGCGATCATGAGAAAATCACAATGCACCTTGCAAGGCCCATTCTTATCAAGCATTGGCATCTAGAATATTTCAGCAAGCGCTTCGTTCTGAGTCATTGAGTGCCATTACTTTCTAACAAAACGTGCGTCCTGCGACTTGCCGGGCCGGCGACGCCGCCGTTTACATCCCTATCGGCTGAGATTGAGTAGGTCTCTCTTGGGAAGAACAGGCAGTGGGCAGCAGAGTGCCCAAGGGCTCGATCGGATGCAACCCTCGCGTGGGACTCGATGAACAAGCGACTGGACCCCCGAGCAACACCGCAGACCGGCCGTGAGGCTCGAAATCCTTCTGCATGGATGGGTTCTCTGCCAGTCACCAGCCAAGCGGCCCGGATGGCGGAAGTCACGATGTGTGGATCAAATTCACTCCTCCGGGTTGCCAGTCCGCGATTCCTACCGCGTTTCATCGATTAGCTGCTCGATTGTCTCAAAGTGGATCGCGATTGCTTCGTCAAGAAGAGGTTGGCCACTTTGTGCGTCACAGGCCGCCCACACGCGTTCTTATGCAGTTCGTTGTTTACCAAGTCTCGGCGCACCCCCCTCGACTGCTGACCATGGTGCTGAATGGCTGCCTCCGGGGGATGCGCCGTCTTCCTGAAATCCGCAAGGAAAATCGACGGACCTTTGAATAACCGTATTGGCCAGGGCCTCGTCGTCAAGGTTGATTAGCTGGGCATCTTGGGTATTGTCCACGTCCATGACCTTCTTGATTGATTTCGCGACATCCTTCCATACCTGCCTTCCATCTACTTCCTTGTAGACATCGTAGAACATTCCTCGAACATTCTGTGTTGCTGACGTGCTGTCAATTGGATTTCGGATGGTTCAACGTCGGTCTCGACCGAGAGATAGCAGTACGAAGGCACGATTTTCCAAAGCGGACCCAATCATGCCGAGCCATTGCGTGGGCAATCATGGCCTCCAATTCATTGGTTTTCGCCGCCAGTGGCCTGGGATTGTAGAGATCGGGCGCGGTTCGAAACAGAAACTACACGGAGAGGTGGACCTTGCGCCTGGCCAGTTGAAGTTGCTGCTGTCTTTTCTCGTTCTCGAGAACCTCGTTGAGCTTGACGCATGCTTCGTCGGCCGAAGGGAACGCTCGCACAGGCACGGAGTTGTAGGAATTTCGATCTTGAAAATCAGCCAGTCGGACGCTGCAACAGGGGCCGTCGGGCGGATGTCGCGTTGTGATTGAATCGATTTCAGGTCGAGGATTCTATCGAGAAGTCGACTTGCCGGATAAATCGCGGTCGATGCTGGACCAAGTTGCCGCAGCCAACCAGCCCTTGCTACCTGTTTGCTGGTTGCCGGGACGCGAAGGGAATCGTGAAGATGTTTGGTGAAATTCTTCTTCGTCCCAACTTGGAAGGAATCTGCCTGCGTTAGGCCCGTGCCTGTGACCGGCTCTTATTGACAGGGCAAGTGCCTGTCTTCCAGAAGGTGAGGGAAGGAAAGAACAGCGGGAACTCCTTCCGTCTGATTTCCGACTCGTTGTCGATGAAGATGCGGAGGACTGAGCAGGTACGTCCAACGGACACCAGGTGTTGCGTCATTCGGTGGGTGCCACGAGGCCCAATAGTTGCAACCGAGAATGGTGGCGAGGACTCTCAAGAGACGCACAAGAACAAAATAATTCGGCTGCATTTCTGATGCTGTGGTCGACTTCATGACAGACTAGGCTTCTTCCGCCAAGTCTGCCTCAAACTTCGCGTCACCAGATCTCTGCATCATCTTCTTCCAACTCCACCAACAGCACTCCGTCGTCGCCACAACCACTATCACCATGCTCGATGGGCTTCATTCCCAAGGTATTATGCCAGAACCGTCGTCAAAGGCCCTGCTTGTAGCAACGGATTTCCGGACTTTCCGAACACTACTAGCCGTCGACGGACGCCATTTCACATCCTCCAAGGCCCCAAATGCTCATGCAAACCCCCAACGTGACTGCACCAAATGGGGCTAAGCGCCATGCCAAACACTTCGTCCTCGTGGCCTCGGGTGGAAGTTGTCTTTGCACCAGGCTGCTGTCACTCTGCCTCCAAAAGCTGTCCAAGAGCTGTTTCGTTCCGTGTCATGAACTCTTCCCCATGAGCTGGCTCTTTGATAGATTCTCTCGGAATCAGTACCCTTCGAGAGTGCCGTTTACTAAGGCGTCTTTTCTTGGAATGGTGCAGCAAAGCATGCTGGAATATTCTTGGCATTCATCTCGCCCTTCTCAGCTCAGTTGTCGTTTCTTCCAATTCGTACATAACTGCCTGCTTGCGCTGGCCCATCGTCAGAGGAAGCCCATGCGATTCACCAAATTGTTTCTATAAATGACGAGTATCGCTTACACATATCGGCCTCAGTCTTTTCCACGGCCGGCTCTACCTCCCGCCCGCTTTGCCGCGCCCAAACAAGACATCCTGATCCCATGCAAGATACTCTGGCGGACTTGAGTCTTCAATGGCATTTCAGCCGGGGTCAGACGTCCCGATATTGATACCGAGGGCTCATGCTTCTGCTTTTGCCATCCATTCGCCAATTGCAATGCCAAAGGATGATGCGGCTCACCAGGTATTTGTCTCTTGAGGATGAGCATTCCTGGGGCTGCGAAAGGGCCCCAAAGCCTGGAGCCTGGCGTAGGATGTGGTTGGATCTGCAGACACGTTGGTGTCTTTCATGACATTGACACTCACTCGAGAGGATACTACGAAGCTAGGCGACGGCTTGCCGATGTCGTTGCTCGGTTCATAGTTCGATACATCTTCAATAGATTGATCATAAGCTTGACTTATGGACACCGAAGGGCGCATAACGCCTCATTTTGATTTCAGAGCAAACCTAGCGATACACTCATTGCGACCTTTGCTTCCTCCTTTCCTCGTATACAAGTGTTGGAGCCTCCAAACTGCTAATTATAAACTTCAACGAACGGTCGTTTCTTCCCTTTCTTCGAAACACCATGCCCCTCATGCTTTGTTAGAGGGAAATGGGCTGTGTGATACTCCTCTGAACCTCCACCTAAGTCTCATTGTCCTCATCCATCTTTCCCTCCTCATTCTCATCCATCTCTCCCTCACCGTCCTCATCCATCTCTCCCTCACCGTCCTCATCCACCTCTCCCTCACCGTCCTCATCCACCTCTCCCTCACCGTCCTCATCCCCCTCTCCCTCGCTCTTTTTCTGTTCCAACCCACAGCCTTTTACTAAACGATGTCTCTGCGGCGTTTGTAAGCTAGGTCCCTTCTCGGCAAGCAGCGGGGACAAGGGGGAACGTTTCGTACCTTCAGAGCATCTTTCCGAGAAAACTGCTTATCGCAGCTTTCACATGGGAACGGTTTGACTGCTAGGTGCAATCTCTTATGCCGGGTTAGATCGTGCTTTCTTTTGAAGGCTGCATTGCAATGGGGACAAACGAAAGGGCGTGGTGGTGGAGGTATGGCTTGGGTATTTTGCGAAGATGTATTGTAATAGTAAGGATGACCCAAGCCGGCATTTGGAATATTGGTCGGAAACTGGGGTGCAAACCGGGGTGGAAACTGGGGTGAGAACTGGGGCGAAAAATGGGGCGAAAACTGGGTTTGAAGCTGGGTTTGAAGCTGGGTCGGAATAATGGTCGGAGGATGGGTCGGGACCACGGTTGACGGTACCTGAGATGGGCCGATGTTCTGGCTGGAGTTCCACGGTCCTGCTGGAGCGGGAACTGGCGCGGCTGACGCCTGGGGTTGCGCAGCCGTGTGAGTGTATCTTTGACCCTGTGGTGAAGAGATGCCACCATAGTCGGGTAGAGACGCCTCGGGCTGCCCAGCCGTACGAGTATTGGGATGAGCCTGCGGCAAAGACGTGCTCCCATAGCTGAGATTGTCGTTATTCGAGGTTCGGAACGTCTGTTGAGGATGGCTGAGCGACAGAGATGTCCTATTTCCCTGCGGATATTCATCCTGAAAACTCAAATGACTGCTCCCATGAGAAGGGGCTGGAGACCCTCCTCCAAGCCCTTCAGCGATCTCTGGAAACAAGGTACCGGTGGAGGACGATGAGAATGATTGTTGCCGTTGCCTTTGCCTATACGTCCTCACGTTATGGCGATGCGGACCTTGCCGAGGCGTCCGGGGCATGTCCCAGTCGGCTGTGGCTGGTGGTTGCACAGGCGAATGGCCATTCCCATTAGAGGGTGTTGATGGCTGCTGCGGCCGACCGAGTGATGCAGACCCTGTCCCCCACTAGGGATGAGGCGTCGTGGACATGTCCCAGTTGGCCGTGGGT